TTTTTAGTGGTCAATATCAATTTTCCATCGATTTTGGCTTTTTGTTTAGGTAGGGCTTTTTTTCCCTCCAGGCTGCCAGTTGGATGATATACGAGAAACAGTACCATTCTTCCTGTTAATGAACTCTTTTTTAAGTCATTTTTTCTCATTTGACCCTTCCATGGAGCAGAAGCAAATTGCGTGAAATTACCTCCAAGGATTACATTTATTACTGGCCAATGAGAACCCCTCGCCTTGTTTTACAAACTCTTAATCCTATGTCATTCTGATGCCGCAAACAAGCCCGGTCCTGGGCCTCCTATTCTTTCAACTTTCCCCAGCTGGAGGGACCTCATTCTGCACTTAATATTCCCCATAAATATCACACGCTAAAGACCCCCTGACTTCCAGCAAGTCCACATTAAACATGTGACATGTCACGCATGACAAACTCTGAGTATCTTTTCAAAGCAGCATTAAAAGCAAAGAAACCAATTTTCTTCTCCTTCCAAACCTCCCCAAGTGCTGAATGATGGGGATTGGAAAGAGCCAGTGGAGCGTACTTAGGGGGATTTTATGAGATTTTCCAGAATGATTTAATCTTATTGTGAGCATTATTAATGAATGGCAACCCAATTTGGCCCCAATATCTGGGAACGCGGTCACAATGCTGGGAGCGGCTGACCCCACCCCCACCAACCTTAAGCAAACCTCTTCCACCGAGGAGGAGGAGGAGGAGGAGGAGGAGGAGGAGGTGGAGGAGGTGCAGAGCCCAGGGGAGTTCGAGAGAGCCCCACGAGAGGGGCATGGCTGTCCCCTGTCACACCCAGAGCAGAATATCCCACCACCTGCTTTCCCAGGGCCACCCCCACAGCATCTTGGGGTGAGGGGTCATCGGAGCCTGGTCTGGGCTGCCGTGGGAAGGACGAGGGGAAAGGGTAAAAAAAATTCGCTACATTTCCAGTCAGGGTAGCCAGATCCGGATGAGGCCCCTCAGAAAAAGGCAGTCGGCGTAATATTATCAGAAGGCGCCCCTAAGTGTTCTTCTGCCACCAACTACCCATGGTGGGTGGTGGACAGACAGTAGTTAGGGTGAACATCTTGGGTTTGTGGTAAGGAAGATAGAAAATAGATGAATTAGGGGAGAGTGACTATTGAAGAGAGGTTTGGGATGACTGGGGACTTGAAACTCAGTCTTTAGCTAAAGTCACAGATACGGGTATTGACCCTGGACAGTTTCCCATGTTTCTTCTCACCCCCTCCCCCAACTGGGGCAAACATTTATTATCGTTGCTTTTGATTTAATATCGAGACGAGACACCTGCAGTTCTCTTTCTCATATCGTTTTGAGTGTGGAGATCGTAGTAGAATGGAAAGGGGGGCTGAAGTTAGAGGAAAGAAAATTATACACCGGTTAGTTCGACTTGCTTTTAGAGGAAAAAATGTGTACGTGAGCAATGTGTGTATGTGTATACACAAAAGTGAGTGTGTCTGAATGAAGAGGGTCTTAAATGGGGCCTAAAAATGGTATTTTGGAATACTGAGTTCCTCAGAGTAACTGCGTATTTAACTGACAGTGGCAGCCTGGCTGGGGGGCGGGGAGAAGAAAACCTGTTACCTGACGGGAGAAAAAGCATTTCTCAAAAGAAAAAGTCGTGTTGTCCCTGGACGTTATTAACAGTCCGGTTTGAAGTATACATTTTTCCTTTAAAGAAAAAGAGCGATTGCCAGTTATACATTAAGAAATGTCATTCAGTCATTTTTATTCATTCTCCGGAAATCTTCGTAAAAGCCTGAATCATACTTCTAACAAGCAGCAATTTTGTTAATCCAGGGGGTTATTACTCTGGGCCCTTATTAGGTTCTACACCACTGCCAAGCAATCCTATAACCCTCTCAAAAGAAGTTTACCTCCCTGTTATAAAACCAGTAGTGGTATTTATACTGTGCAATAATTAGTGTATTACTTGAATCCACTAACACGTTCATTTTATCTCTGCACAAAACCTCTAGTCTGCTTATAGAAAGCTTGTGCCTCCTTTGGTGCTGGTAAAGTGGTGAAAGAGTGAATTGAAGGCTGGTTGCACTTTCTCCTTTTGCCTCGCCTTAATTCCCATCTCTTTTTGCTCTCATCCAATTAGCACAGTGTATTAAGCGGTTTATCATCTCATAGTCAGCTATTGAGAGAAACAAGGCGAGCACTTTGCAATAGAACCTGCGCTCCTTTGACACCCTCAGGTACTTACATATTCCACTGTGCTATGAATAATAGAGGAAGAATGGAGCGCTAATTCCCTCATCAAAGAATGCCTTGTCTGCTGCTTTGCTCAACAACACCATTCTGATCAAAAGA